CAAGTCTGGAATTGCAGAACAGAGAGCAGAATGGTCGGGTTGATGATTTATCAGCTTCTAAGGTAAAGGGGGAACTACATAAGTGTTTGAATGGGCCTGTTACAGTTGCTACGGTCTTGTTGCCTCGTGGTTTAATCAATTCAGGGAATCTGTGCTTTCTCAACGCAACGCTACAGGCTCTTCTATCCTGTTCTCCTTTTGTTCAGCTTCTGCAGGAATTGAGAACTCGCGAAGTGCCTAAGGTTTCTTTTGTTTATTCGATTACTTTGCATTTACGTGGTTTTAGTAGAATTGCTATTTGCAAATAACAAAATTTATATAGATTGCTGATCTCAGAAAATAGGAAGCTACCTTGCCTATGCTTGTTCTTTTTCTGGCTAATCACTTAACTAATATGTTGTCCATTTGAATTTGATTTTATATAGATTGGGTGCATTTGCAGAGTTCGTCTCTGAATTTGACATGCCTAGTGGTTCAAGTTCAAAGAACAAAGATGCAGGTGTTCTTGAGACTGGTAGGCCTTTTAGCCCTGCCATGTTTGAAGGCGTTCTTTAAATTTTTACTCCAGATGTACGAACTAGCATCTCAGGCAGGCCAAGGTGTGTATCTGATCTGGGTCAATAATTTTCTGTTCTAGGTTTTGTCTTTTTGTATTTTTTTATTTCTATGTTGAGCCTTCTTATTGCAAATTTAATCGTTGATGGTATTGCTAGCTGAAATTGTAAGGCACGATCATTGCAAAAAGATTTAGACACATGCATCTATTTGTGGTCACAAAAGTTGTCCTTCCCTGCCACTTTTTTTCTTTTAAATCCCTCATGCACTGTTTCCTTTCTTTCCTTATATTAATATCTTTTCACTATTTCCAAATAAACAAGAAAGGTCAGACATGTAGCGCAATTTTGTTACTTTGTGATTCTCATAAATCTTGTATTGATCGGTAATGGTTTTCCTTCAGTATTATTAGGCTTGATTGATAATTCTCACGCTTTACAATTTGTCTGATGGCTTGAAAAAGTGCCACTGCCTGACATAGCCCATGAGTAAAATGCCTGCTGTTGTAGTGTCTCCACTTGAATTGTTTATTTTCTGAAAACATGTTACACTTTTTTCCAATTTATTTCTCTATTTGTGGTTTATTACACCTGTTGCAACCCATTTAATGTGAAATAATGGGTTAGACTGAGATATTTTATAAGTTAACTTGTGATCGGTAAAATGTTGTAATAAATAGGTTAACAATCTTTTGTACTATTCTGAGTTCGCCAATATTTTCATGGACCAAGGAAAGAAGAAACCTAGAAGACCTCAAGAGTAATTACCAAAGGGTTAAATTTGCATTGTTTAGTTTCTTCTCTGTCTAGTGTAAATATTTATGGCGGCATGTCTATATTCTACTTTCACTACAAGAAAATGGGCCTTAGTTGACACTTCATTCTTTTATATATCTCAAGTTGTTTTTCTGATTGGATATTGTGGGTGCTGTTATGGATTCTTATTTTGCCATTAATTTCAGTTATTTCTATGAACCATATGATTTTCATTTTTGAGACCTTGAGTAGGACAGTTTCTGGTTTGGTTTGCCTTTGTATCTCTCACACTAGATGCTGATAAAGCCTCCTTCCAAGGAAAATTCCATTTAGATTTAGTTAGGATTTTATTACTTTTTATTTTTATTCTGATAACTCGGTACTCTAGTTTTTTCACTAGTTTTAGATCACAAGGATGATGAAGTGCGAGTCAGCAGAACAAGTGTGACCTTATTGTCAATCTTAAAACTTCAACAAACCAAAAAGTAGGTAAACTTAGTTTTCATCCCTTTCAAGCTTGTTCTGGTGCTTTGGATTTTGGATTGCCATATACAATTTAATAAGTTAAGTTCTTTACTTTCCTTTTGGTCTCGGCAGTTGTTGTGGTGGGATAGTGTAAATTTTAAATCCAAAGCTTTTGACTTTGATGATGGTAATAAATTTGCTCATTTTATTAAAATAATCATGAATCATCATTTACAACATAGGTCAGATTACAAATGTTGGTACTACTATATCTGCTTGTTTTTTTTTTTTTTTTTTCTCATTATTGATACCTCAGAATGTATAATGCTTTTGTCTAATATATGTTTGCATTAAATTTGTTTGCAGGTTAGGAGTATCAGTCTTCGTAGAGAAGGTGCTGACATTCATGTAGATGTTGGTTTGTGTACCACTCAGGTATTGCTTAAATATTTTACTTCTTTGAAGTTCTTTATATGCTTTAATACGAGAAACTCTTGAAGATTGAGTATATGAGATGGAGAAATAGAATAATCTCTTTTAACTTTGGCAATATCTAATTGTTTTTAGGTCACCAACAAACTCAAGTGTAAGAACTCAAATGGGTTTCATTGGTTTTGTGTATTTGGATCGTTTTTCTGATTGGATATTTTGGGCTCTGTTTTAGGTTGCTTGTTTGCAATTAATTTTGGCTATTTCTATGAACCCTATAATTTCGTACAAGAAATTGAAAAGGGAAAGAAGGTTTGACTAAATTTTCTTATGGCCCTTGAAAGAATGCATGTCCTACTTGAACAAGAAAAGTATATGATCGTTTTTGAGTCTTTACACTCTTTGGCTGACCTTGTCCAAGCAAGTATTGGATGTTTTATAGGAACAACAAATTAGTGAAGTACTCATCCTAGCTTCAAATCCCATTGGGAGGTAAAAATGATAACTAGGATTTTAGTTTAATAGAAGAAGTCACTATTTTGTGCAGTGTATATATTGCTAGAATTTATCTATGATGCACTATGTAAAGTAAAGTGGGTTTTATACCAATATTAGTCCTATCACGGTTCTTGAATATTCATGTTAATGACTTTTCTTGAGAAATCTTGTACTTGATAATTTCTAATTTTCTGTTTACATGTTAGAAGAAGATATTTTGTCTATTTATATATTCTTCCTTCTGGATGGTGCTTAGGACTTATAAGTTTTGGGAAGTACTCATAATTGTACTTTCGCCTGAGTAGGAATTTTTTTCCCAGTTTGCAAGAATTGTTCATCAAATTTATATAAGTTTGTAGATAGCACAAGCATGCACCTTTGAAGAAGCACATATGCGATTCTCATCCAACCAATTTCCTTGTAACAAATTATGTATCTCTGACTCTGTTTTTTCCCTCAGGCTGGATTAGCTCTTGGAGAGTTGCGAAAGGAAAATAATTCCTAAGAAGCCTTTGGCCAGTAACTAATCCACCTTCAAGTCAAGAACATCTTTTACATCCTCAACTTTTACAGAAGCCTCTCCGCCCATTCCTTGCTCGAGGGTATTTTGACGATGTAGGAGTGTAAAATGTGATTCCATTAAGGACGTCGTGTCCTTTTTGTAATATGTTGTAGATTATGAATATATAGTGGGAATGTGGAGTTTTTGTATTGCCTTTGTATTGCTCCCCTATTGCATTTGTATTGTCATCGTATTGCCATTGTAGTGTCGTGGTATTGCCTGGTTATTGCACTTATATTTGTTTCTTATCACCTGTTTTTTCAAGTCTATCTTGTGAAGGAACTTATAAGGATATTTTGTAAAAGAAAACGCTTGATTGTATTAGTTTATTTTGTAAAGGAAAATGTTAGATCATTATTCATTATCATATGCAGTCGGAGCAAAGAGTTAGAGTCCTTGAAGTTGAAATTGGAAGAGAGAAAGAAATATGCAGTCGAAAAATTCACAAAATCTGAAGAATATAATCATGAAATGGTTGAATGTTTCAACAACGGCTTCGAAATGTTCCGAGATTATGCTTTGGTCATCTCACCAGACTACAATTGAAGTGAAATTGATGTAGCTGGTGTCTGGGAGGTGCTGAATATGGGTGCTGAGGGAATGGCTCATCATAGCCTCATGCATGCAGCGAGGAGAAAGGACAAAGACATGGATCTTTTGATGGACATGTAGTAAGGGTGAGTGCTGCTTCAGTTCATCTCACCCGAGTACATGGATCTTTTGTTGCCACTACTACAAAAAATGAAATAGACAACGGGAATCCACCGTCATGTATAATGTTTTACAACCGACGTGAAATCGACCGCCGTCTTTTAACACATGAAATAACGACGGCAAATAACCGACGTGGTTAATATATTACACATCATAAAACAAACTAAAACCGACGTCTATTTCATACATAAAAGCATACAAAGACAACTTTCGACTATATTAGACGATGGTTCTAGTAAAACACAGACGTTTAAATAATGTTAAATGTCAAAAACAACTACAAACCCGACGTAAATCAGTTTATCAACATCTCTAATTAAAACAAAACCGACGTGTAAAACGTATAAACCGTCGTGGTTAATAAATACTACGTTCACTAAATAAAAAAAACTGACGTCTAAAACATATAACATGGTAAATTAGACGTCCGTTTTGTCAAAAAAAGTGACGTGTTAAATATTTAATATGGCATATATTTATTTGGACTGACGTAAAAACAAAATAACCACGACCCTTGAGGTCACCACAGACGTTGAAAATTATTTTGACGGCTTGAACACAGAAACCAACGACGTGGATTTAATATTACACGTCGGTTAATTAAAACACCTGTCATGTTTAATCCATTTACTATGACCTAGGAGTCCCATTTTAAGACGTTGTTAGTATTTTATAACGTCGGTGGTTGTAGACTTTGACGTGGTTGACATTTTAAAAGTCTCTTTTGTGAGCCACTTAGACGTGTGTAATCTCTGAGACGTCATTTCTTTTAGTCTAACCGTCGTTAATAAGTAACGAAACGCCTTGAGTTATGGATTTGACGTCGGTTATTGTAAAATAAAGGTCGTGGTTATACTTTACTATGTCCCAAGAATTCAATGATTCGACGTTATTATATACTTACTACGTCGGTTATTTATTTATTCCATGACGTGGCTAGTCTTTGTTAAGTCTCTTTCATAACCTTTTTTGACGTGTGTATTCTCCGAGACGTCAATTGTTTTATTATAACTGACATGCAACATTATTTTTACGACGGTAATCATCAATCGATGGTTTCCATAAATTCGTCGGTTTGAGCTCTCTTCCGTCGTGTTATTCTTTATTGTACGTCGTTGATTATTTTCTTTACCGTTGTTGTTGTTAATATTTATTAACCGTGTTTAAATTAATTTGAATTAAACGACGTGTTTTCTTTTTCAAATGACGATTTTTATTTCATTTTTGCATTGGCATTCCACGTCGTTTTTGAAAACTCGACGTTGGTTATTTTTTAGACGTCTCTTTTTGCGATTTTTGTAACTTGACCGTCGTATTTTCATCTTTAACCGATTATTTTTAATTTTTGATTTGTCGTGCCCAAAGCCTGCAGAATGAAAATGTGATCGGAATTAAAATGATATACAGAGCTATGAAATGTTTAACCGATTTTAACTGCACCCCCGCGCGCGCGCGCGTAGGTTTTATAAGAGCTAAGCTCCTGTTTTATAGGAGTTTTAACCCTATTTGCGCAGGTACTAAAAAGCCTATCAAACACTACCGACGACCAACCACGTTGCATTGGGTCGTCAACATAAAATACTTGTTTGACTTGAGAAGCCATAACAAATTGGTCATTCCTATGTCCAATTTTACTAAGATCTACAAGGGTAAATCCAAGTTCGTTGACTACAAGGCCCGAAGTGTTATCTATCCAATCACACCTCAAGACTGGGATTCTAAACTTTTGGTAGTCAAGATTCCAAATTTTTTGAATAACCCCATAAAAACCCATATTGGAGACAATATGGTTTTTATCCTTGGCACTAGCAACTTGCATAGTATGTGCAAGTAAACAAACTCCACTATTTTGGACAGTTCGCACATCATCTTGTGCCTTGGTGTTAAATTTGACACCATTAATAAGATAGCTCCTATATGATGGCACTGCCATGCTTGGACCAGCTGCTAACCACCTCAAATTTTCTGATATGCCATTATTGTCTTCCCCATTAAATTCACTTTGATCCTGCAAATTAAACATATATCTTAATTCAATATAACATATATATAGAAAGAAAGAAAATTAAAATAAGTTCAATATGTCATTCAATAACATATATACCTTAAAGCGTAGCCATTGAATGAAAGTGCTATTGTGCTTATCTTGTAGCCACTTTATTCTCTTTCTAAATTTTGGATAAGTGGTCTTGATGTGGATTATATGTTCCCTACAATTGACACGATAAAAACACGCATTACAGTCCCTTGTATATAAGATAAACATAAGGAGTAATAATATTTAAAATGGCTACATATGAAAAATTAAACTCATACATACTCGATATAAGGTAGGACTTCCTCCGTATTCTCCAATATATATAGATGTGCCTGGTTCAACAAGTCCATATCAACTAAGTTGACTGTGCAACCTGATAATGGCTTTGAACCTCCCATATTCTGGCTTGAAGGCACTCCAACTGTACTATTAAGGTTCGGTGGCTTGAAGGCATGCCTTTGTTTTCCCTTCGCAGGATAGTATTGTTAAGGTTCGGTGGCGATTTGTTTTGCATGTGTAAAATGTAGTCTGTAATGGATGTATGTGTATTGTATGTAGATTCACTTAATATTGCTGTTATATTGTATGTATATTGCTTAATATTGCCTTTGTATTGCATAGATAGTGTATGCATATTGCCACCCTATTGGATGTATATTGTAATACTATTGCTATCGTATTATCCTTATATTGCTCTAATATTGCCTCTATAGTGTAAGTATATTGGCCTAATATTGCTATTATATCGTATGTCAATGTCATTTGGTCTAATAACAGTCTCCACTTCATTCAAAGTAATCCTGAATTCAAATATCACGGACACGACAATTGTTATCCATCCTTATATTACCATGAATTGATGTTGACCTTTCAAATGATAGTTGGAGTTGCACATCGATTCATATTCAAAAGGAAAGTAATTCTCTCCCTCAATGAATCGTCGTTCAAAAGAAGGCAGCTATCAAATATTGGGTACAAAAATGCGATATCCACGGTAAATTAATTGGGCACAAACCACATATTACAAAACCAGGATGATTTTTGGCATGCTTGAAAAGAGAAGGGCCAAATACAACAGAAAAGAAAATCCATTCAAGCTTGTACAATGGAATGCACAATAACCCTTTTACATGTCCTTAACACCAGTGTTTTGCCTGCTTTAGAGTCGCAGGAGGAGACCATATTGCCATTGTGCAATTCGAGGGGGCAGTCAATTTGGAATGGTGCCATAAACATGTTTTCTTCCCCTAACTTTAACTAAATTAACTTTAGTTTAATTACTTGTAAGCCCCAGCTAGGTCCTTCTGTTTTCTCTTCTTCTTCTTCTTCTCATGACTCTTAAGAGGCAGTTTGATGTAAATAAATCCTAAGATTTCCATGTGATGCACATGCAATTGGAATAAATAAAAAAAATAATAATAAAGGGATCAGTTCATTAGTGGTTACATTTAATCTTATGTATGACAAATGTAAGACCAGCCAGTTGGGTTGGGGTAAATATACGACTGCAAATCTCTTTTTCATTTTCCTTTTTTCTGGTGAGAATGGCAAAAGAGCTTGTGCCCTAGAAAACAAATATAATCGCATACCCTTTCATAAAGAGAGAGATTTGATTCTACGGGTTCTAGTTTACTCCACGGATCACCTCTATGGGACAGAGCTTCCTTCTTCCCTTGTCAACTGTAGGTTTCAACTTCATACTTTTTATATACATGTATGAGAACTTGTGGCTAATTATGGCCTTCTAACACTTGTTCTGCCATTCCAAAGAGGGTTGGAGATTTTTTGAGTTGAATGACTGGAAAGACTTCAGATGACAGAAACTAGAGATTTTGAAGAAAAAGGGTTACCAAGAATATAAGTCATGTCCTAATTCTTCGAAGGAAAAGAAAGTAAATAATAGATTTTTATTCAAACAGAAACTAAAAAATTGATCTTTTGAACAAAGATTAAAAGTCGTATTTTTTGTGAAGTATCATCGGATGGTACCATAGAACTCTAGCTCCATGCGGAATTTGAAAGAAGAAAACTTATTCGGAATCTTTCATATTTGTAACCACTTTGCTTGTTCTCGGAGGAAGAAACAAAAATAATAATAATAATAAACGGTGTGATTTCAATTATTTCAAAAGATTGATGTCAATACTATTTGTTTGACATTATAAGGGCATCTCTCACACAATTAAGCCCACAAAATAAACTAAACATGCTATAAGCTCCACAATAATATTTACTTCATCTCCATAATCAGAATATTGGGGGAAAAAAACCACGGAGAATACATGAAATGAAAAACAACTCGGCATTGACTGTGAGATTGTGTACATAAAACTTGGAACAACCAAACCAATTAAAGCTAAGCCATCTCATACGTATGCCTACATAAAATAACAGTGTATGGTCATCTTCTTTAGAATATTGCAATCAACACTTGGTTGAGACCGACCTGCAAAAACAACTGGGTTAAGTATAAAGATAGAGTTTATGACTGGCAGTTCCAGAATTAAGACCTATGTTAATTTGTAACTGCCACCGAGTCAGTTCATAGTGCCAAATGCAGCTATCTGGCACACAGATATGACAAGCCAAAAGAAAAAAAGAAAAGAAAAAAAGAAAAAAGAGGCATGACATAAATGGGAACCTCAGCAGAAAGCATCAGATATGCATACAAGCAGATTGGCTCCATTACAATGTTCAAGAATGATGTAAATACTAGATAAAAGAATTCTTATTCAAACCTCAGCAGGTTTCTTGGTTTCATTCCTGGACCTTCAATATTGTCTTGCACAATAGCATCAGTTCACTTCGTCAAAGTTCCAGACAAAGACTCCGCAATTTCTTTTAGACCCTGCAAGAAAGTGGCATGACTTAAATTTATTTTTTGGATACACGCGAGAGTCTAAACTACTCTAAATTTATCCAATCTACGGGGAGGGGAACTCGAACTTAGGTGCAAGGGGTGGGATACAAGCGAGATTCTAAACTACTCTAAACTAATCTAATCTATGGGGAGGGGTACTCGAACTTGGGTGCAAGGGGATGGGCTCCCTGCCTGGCCAACTACCCTAACCCACGTTTGCAATTAAGTAGCAAATATTAAGGATTTAACTATCAAGATTCCAGTTGCTAAAATAATAGTATCTGAAACCCCTAAATTAAAAAACACATATTGCAAATGAGATAGCTCTGAATGGAATTACACCCTGAGAGAAATCATTATTAAAGACAGACAAACCTTCATACACAACATGGCCCAACCCACCCCCATATAAATCTAAGATATTTTGTAGGGCATGGGAAAGAAATCACAAGCATATGATTCTCAGTAGCCTTAAGCCTCCTGCTTGCATCTTGGAAAGAAAAAAATTAATTGGGAATAGCTCTAAAGGAATCCCTATTTGACCTCTTTCCCTTCCCCCAATCTCATGGTGTAAAATTAAGTGGAAACAAAGGGAATGCAAACCTAAAGCATAACGCTCCATCGATGCTTTACTAATTTTAGCATCTAATCGTAGTGTAATCTATAGGTTATTTTCTTTCTTTCTTGTGAAAAACAATGGGCACAGATGCTTTACATGAGTCCATAATAATTAATAAATGCGAAGACCTCTGTTCAATATTTTCAACCAGGATAAAGTCAGCAACCAGAAGAAAAAAGATTCTTAGAAACAAACCATCAGACTCTGAGTTTCTGAATATGTCACTAAACGACCACGTGGATTCCCAGTAAGTTTAAGTTTCGTCTGCAAGTAGAAAAATTAATTAGAGCAGTGATCATATATACCAAAAAGCACTACATAGGAGACTATACTGAGGGCCTCGGTAAAAGGTAAAGAACAGAGTGAGATTAAATGATGGCAGGGGCTTATCTTTCACTACGACATGATCTTATTACTTACAGGTAACTTTGATACAATGAACATAATCTTTTCATTTTTCACAATATAAAAATATTATGAAAGTTGAAGAGTCAATAACACATTTAAATCCATACACTGACAGGTACAAACCTGCTGAGGCATTTCAACTTGTTTTCCCTCAACAAAGTTGACGAGGTAGAAAAGACCAAGATTTTGAAACATCCTGCACGAGGCATTTCCATCAGTACAACCCTAAGCGGATAAATAAAGTGATGTGTGTATCGAAATAAATGCAACAGCCACTGCAAGTACTCCAAAGCAAAGACATATCTTACTTACAAAAGTGTTACAGACTGGTGAAAGAACAGAGTTATATGCACATTAATTATGGCTTCTAATAAATACTACACTTTCTCATCAATTAATTATGGCTTCTCTATTCGAACAAAAATAAAGTTGTTTTACCTGCTTTTCTGAAATGGAACCTAGCTTGTAATCCTGCAAAAGGGAAAAGTAAGATAAGTTGCTACAAATTCAAAGAAAAATTTGTCTCAGAGAGAGTGATGTAAAGGAAAATTAGTAAATAAGGGGAAAGTAAAAAAAATAGAGAGAGCGCATGTAATGTAAAACTCTAGGAATTCCCAAAAATACCAAATTTGGCCTACACCAATACATGTTCAAGCAGAACTCACCAAACCAGTAAGCGCACTTTGAAACTCAGTCACGGTAACGTAAAGTTCCTCAATACTTCCTTTCGTATCACCAACCTGTTTCACAAGTTGTAACCAAATTTAGAGATGATGCCGAAAATATATTTCGTATGCTACAAGACTCCATTTACATTAAATTGGAATGCAGGATTTTAAAATACTAAATTGCATACATTTAAGGCATGGCACATCACATATGGATAGTGGATACCTAACCAGCTGTGACATTCATCCTATTAGTTCCATATTGATAATGTCAGAAGTTTTTGCTTAAGCCTCATCAAACTAGAAGTTTTTTAATTTGAATTTATGAATGAAGAACTAAAAGCTCATAATATGCAGAAAATGACATACATTCTCCAGAATCGACTTTGAGATCTCTTTCTGCTCCAGCAATTTATCGTCCAAATTCTGGACTCTCTGTGTTAGGTGCTTCTTTGTGTTCTGTCCAGCATAAGAATGTTTAATACAGTCATTTCAATTGTTTATACAAATTCTATAAGAAATATTGATGAGTGCTGTAAATCAATTTGATGTTGGGAACAAACATGGTCCCACAAACAGAAACTCAAACAAAATAGGAATTTTTTTTTTTTTGGCATAGACAGCCGAAAAGAAACTTACAGCAATAGCCTCTGTCACGCTCTCCAGATGTTTATGCAAGTTTGAAACAGCAGTAGTCATACTACGCTTTGTCACATACATAAGATCTGAGAATTTTAGACCCTAACCATTTGTGAAGAGCAAATATTAGATTGTCAGTCCTTTATCTTCTATACTCACGAGTAAGGGAGCTAGTTTTGAAGGTGTTACCTCAGAATTGTACTTCATAAAAAAATTGACATCATCATCGTCCTCAATCTTTATGTGCTTCCACTCATTCGAGGCCACTAAAACTGAGAATTTTAAGCAAACCTTGTCTTCCCTGCTGTTTGTATTACCAATCTGATGCACACGGTCCAACAGTTCAGCAAATTTGATGGTCCGTGGAACTATTAAGCCTTTTGAGTCACCCCCTTCGTATTTGCACATCTTCTTCGAGGTGACCCATTTTCCATTGTAGCACACGAGAATAACAATTGTCTCCATTTCTGACCATGACAAAACAACATTTCATTAACACAATATAACCACAATAACCATACAATAAAATGGCAATATAACAGCAATATAATGGCAATATAAGAGCAACATAACAGCAATCCGACAATAAAATAAGAGGAACACAACAGCAGTACACCAGTAACACATCAGAATCACACTATATAAATCTACTACATCAAATGGAAAATCCCAAGTTTCAAGATTCACATATCCTGACCAATCTAAGTGCAATTGGTACAAACCCAGATGAATGAGCATGAATATTCAATAAAACCTAACCCAAAGCAATGAAAGCCAAAACGAATTTAACACAAACCCAAACAATCAAAATATAACCTATTTCACATAATCCCACTGATATTAAGAAAATAACCATCAACACTACCTTTTCGAGGTCGCCAATCCACTAGAGCTTCAAGGTTGCAAGCAGCTATTCAGAAGACATACCTAAAGGGAGGGGTTCGGGATTCCAAACAGAGAGCAAGAGACCGAATAGGGGGAGAAAGAGACATAACGAAGCTAGACAGAGAAAGAGTTGCGCTATGAGAAAGAGAGCAAAGAGAGAGACAGAGAGTTGCGCTAGAGAGAGAGAGAGAGAGCCAAGAGAGACACAGAGAGCTGCGATAGACAGATACCAAAGAGAAAGAGAGCTGTGCCAGAGAAAGAGAGAGAGAGCTGAGTGAGCTAAGAGAGAACAAAATTTCTGAACTTGTGAAAAATCAGCGATAAGTGGACAATAATTTTATATTTATAGGTGATAGTTGTAAAAAAATTGGGAAGGGGTGGTATTTTTAGTTAAAATTATGAAATGGGTGGCATTTTAAGCTATTTCCCTTTTTTTTTTTGGTGTGTCAAAAGTGGACTTTCATTCATAAGAAATGGTTACAAATAAAGTCCAAAATAGCAAAGATTCAAAGGCCCAAAATAAATTAAACCCTAGCAACTAAAACAAAATAAGAAAATGCAACCGCCATGACCATCGCTGCAACAGGAGAAACAGCAAGCAGACAACTACAAATCAGGGACAAAATAAAACAACAAACTTCCAAACCAACAAAACAAACAAGAACCCCAAACCCAGTGGTGGTGGATTCCCCCTCCCCCAATGATATTTTGGATCGAACCAGTGGAATTCTTTCCTCCAATGTAAAAAATAAAATAAAATAAAATTAGTGTGGGAGTCCTATTATAACTCCAATAACCCTTCTTTTTGTACGCTAAGTATTAACGCAACTATATAATTGGGTTCGTTAAATATTCTAATTTCGAAACTGAACTAAGAGCGCAATTGCTTATAACTCAAGCCATTAACTCAGCAATTATTATGCGTTCAATTCCCTCGGCATCAGTAAGCTTAAGAAAGAAAACAAAATATAAAAAAAAAAAACAGGACACAATCACTTGGTGAGAAGAAAGAGAGCGCATCCCAGCAAGGAAGTTTCAGTGAGGTGTCGTGGAAAACATTAGTCCTTTCTCATTATTTCCATTCTATAGTGGGGTGATGCGGTTTTCCACCTCTACAGCACCCTCTCCTCTGTCTTTTATTTCAACTTTCCTGTCCAAACAAACATGGACCAGACCACGGAAGCTTTCCTTGAAATTTCCTTTTACTTTTTTGGTGGAAAACATTCGTCCTTCCACTTTGTAAAACACTTTCACATTTTTCCTTTCTTTTTTTTTTTTTTTTCACCTTGACCCTTATCCTGAGTATTGGACGTGTTGAGCTCTTTCTTGGGGAGTTCCTCATTTCTTCTTCGGTTTCTTGCCCTGACTTTTATGTGGAAATTGTTTTGGCATCACGCGTAATGTAAATTTCCTTTTTTCTCTTGAGTGTTTACATTTTATGGATTGTGCTATGATGTTCATATCCATTCAACTCACTTTAATAGCCATTCAACTTATCTGTGGTTTCATCAGTGTTTGTTTGTATTGATTTGATTCCTTGCTAATAGTTTTCTTTTCTTTTTTACATGGTATCATAAAGTTTCCAACTTTGTGGTCACATCTGAAGCAGTGACTTTTGTGTGGAAATTGTTTTGGCACCACCACAGTGTACAGTGCAACAATGTTTCATCATTGATTGTTGTACTGATTCCTTCTTATTAATGAAATAGTTAGAGTTTTCTTTCTTTCATTGTTTCATCAGTAAATTAAAGTTTTTAAAAAAAAATGTATTATTAATCATTAAAAAATAGAGAGCTTAAAAAGTGAAACATTAAAAATAAAAAATAAAAAATACTGTTTTGAGGGACTCCAATTATAACTCCAATACGCTTTTTATTTTATTTTTACAAGTATTAAAGCAACTATACAATTTAGTTTTTGTGTATAACATGCAATCTATACGTGGCGAACTGCAAACTTGTAAGCCTGCATATAGGAGTTCAGATCCTCTGTCCACGTTTTTGTGTGTCCCTCCATGTCCCTGCCTTAATGTTTTGACACCTAGTATCCCACTTAATCCTACTTTAACAGTTCTACTCTAACTCTGTTATCTTTTTTTAATTTTTTTTTTCCTGCGTTTCCCCTTCTCTCTCCTCTATTTTTTATTTATTCTTTTTTCTCTCCTCTAACTCTGTTATTTTTTTTTTTGTTTCCTGTGTTTCCCCTTCTCTCTCCTCTATTTTTTATTTATTCTTTTTTTTTTTTTTTTTTAGTTTGAACCCCGAAGTGGTCCTGGATGGGCCCCAATTATGAGTGGCACCTTTAAGCCTTAACCACAACCCAGACTAATCCCCGCTCACACCGGGTCGGCCCATAAGGGGTAAAGTGTTGGCCAAAGTGGTGACTCCATACGAGAGCGGAGATCGAACCCCTGACCTCTCTTAAGGAATGAGAGTGCCGAACCACTCACACCAACCACCTTGGTTTTTATTTATTCTTCTTTCTCTCCTCTCGGCCAGTTTTCTTCTCCCTCTTTGTTTCCTTATCTCTTTATTTTTCCTGCCCTTCTCTCTCTTTCTCTCTCTCCTCTTTCTTCTTTTCTTCTTTCCACTAGTATTCTTCTGCCCTGTGGGAGAAAAAACAGAGGGGAGGGTGGGGGAAACGCAAGGAAAAAAAAAGACTCTATGTTAAAGTGGTTAAGTGAGATGCCAGGTGTCAAAAAAAATAAGGTAGGGACTGGGAGGGACACACAAGAACACGGACAGAGGATCTGAACTCAGCATATAGCTACCTCAACCAACGAGTTAATTAGCTACCTCAACAAATTCTCTGGCTTTGTGATTTGTTAATTTGTTGTTCTGCTGAGCTATTGTTTGAGTTTGGTGTGTTTCCCTTTCATTGATCTCGAGTTTGTTTTGCTGGGTATTTGCTCTCTGCCCTTCTTCTCTTCTGCTTAATACGTTTTCAATTACCAAAAGAAAAATTAAAGCTGCCATTTTTTTTTTCATAGATCATTTTCTCTTTACGTATTTACTGAGTGTTTGCAGAACCAGATTTCCAGGAACTGTTTTTCTCCCATGGCCTTGAGCACCCACAGAGCTTCTACATCTCGTACTTCAGCTGAATGCGCTCCTCCTCGATGGAAGCATGATGTTTTTCTGAGTTTCAGGGGCGAAGACACTCGCAGGGGTTTTATCTCTCATTTAGACCGTGCATTGGCGTGCTGGCAAGCAATGAGCATTTTCAAGGACGATCGAGAACTTGAAGTAGGAGCACCTATTTCTCTGGAGCTGTTGACCGCAATCGAAGAATCATATCTTGCCATCATTGTTCTCTCCCCAAATTACGCTTCTTCCACTTGGTGCTTGAATGAACTCTCAGAGATTCTTGAATGCATGGAAGACACCAAGAGAATTCTGCCAATCTTTTATGACGTGGATCCTTCCGATGTACGAAAACAAACGGGGAGTTTTGCGGAAGCTTTCACTAAGCATGAAGAAAGGTTTAGTGGAGATGCCGAGAAGCTGAATCGGTGGAGAGCCGCTTTAAGAAATGTTGCCAATCTCGCTGGCTTAGATTCAAAAAATTATAAGTAAGCCTGCATCCATGAAAAACTTGTGTGTGTCTTAACAAGAGCCCTACTTGGATGTTACATTTCAATTCTTCCTTCAATACAACAAACAACCTTGGATGTTATATTTATGGATTAATGGTTTAATACTTTGTAGGTCAGAAGCAGAGCTTGTCGATGACATTGTCAAACGTGTGTGGAAGAAAGTGAATCCTATAGTCACGTTGTTAGATTCTGAAGAGAAGTTAGTCGGAATTGATTTTGCACTTGATCAACTACGCTTGCATTTAGCTCCCGAAGAAAATGATGTCCGCTTTATAGGGATATGGGGGATGGGCGGGGTTGGCAAAACAACCCTTGCTAAGCTAGTTTTCGAGAGAATTTCCCATCATTTTGAACTTAGCTGGTTTCTATCTAATGTGAGTGAGGTTTCGGGAAAACAAGGTGGTCTAGTTAATCTACAGAGACAGATTCTTTTCCCAATCTTGAAAGAAAATGTTGCCCATGTTTGGGATGAAGGAGCCGGAACCTTTTTCACTCAGAAACGTTTATACAATAAAAAGGTTCTTCTCATCCTTGATGACGTGGATCAATTAAACCAACTTAAAACACTGGCTGGAAAGAAAGATTGGTTTGGTGTGGGAAGTAGAATTATCATCACAACTAGGGATGAGCGTCTACTAGTTGAGCATGGTATAGCGATACGATATAAGGTCGAGGTATTAAAGGATGATGAAGCTCTTGAGCTCTTTAGTCAAAATGCCTTTAAGAAAAATCAGCCTGAGGAAGGTTTTCTGGAACTCTCTAGGTGTTTCGTACATTATGCCAAAGGTCTTCCATTAGCTCTGACAACATTGGGATCTTCTTTGTATGACAGAGGTCAAGATACATGGAAAAGTTCGTTGGATAATCTAGGGAAAATTCATAATCCAACAATTTTTCACTCACTCAAAGTAAGTTATGACAGACTAGAAGAGATAGACAAGAAAATTCTTCTTGACATTGCATGTTTCCATAAAGGGAAGGATGAAGAGCAAGTAATTGGAATACTAAACAGTATCTATAATATTTCTAGTCGTATTAGGATAGATGTTCTCATTGAGAAATCTCTCTTAATTATGGATAAATTCAACAATCCTAATAGGGTTCAGATGCATGATTTGATACAAGAAATGGCATGGAAAATTGTTCATCTAGAGTCTCGAGGAGATCCTTGTCAATTCAGCCGTTTGTGGCTTCGCGATGACATTTCTCATGTATTCATGCACAATTTGGTAAGAAGTTATGTAGAGTCTCGAGGAGATCCTTGTCAATTCAGCCGTTTGTGGCTTCGCGATGACATTTCTCATGTATTCATGCACAATTTGGTAAGTTATGTATAAATACTAATTTTTGAAGGAAATATATGTAATTTATTTTAACAAGATATATTAGACTTGAATGTGGAATTAATGATTCCTTTGTTTTTTCTTCTTAATTATTAGGAAATGAGAGCAATTGAAGGCATAGTCCTACGTTTGCCCAAATTAGAAGCAGTGCCCTGGAATTGTACTAAAGCCTTCAATGAGATGCATGGGTTAAGGCTCCTTGACTTTGATAATGTGGTGTTTTCTTCATGCCCTAAATTTCTTCCAAATTCCTTAAGAATTATGCATTGGAGTTCGTATCCTTCCAAATCGCTCCCATCAGGTTTCGAACCACATTTGCTTTCTAAACTAGAAATGTGGAATAGCAAACTTGTCCGGCTTTGGGATGGAGCACAGGTAAGATTCTTGAAATACAGCATTTTGTAATGTTTTTTTAATTATAATTATATTGAGTATGATTGTATTGTACCTTGTTTTAACTTGCAAGGTTTTTTGAAACTTATAATTCTACAACTTTTATGTACTGGCAGGATTTTCCAAATTTGAAATATATGGATCTTAGTAACTCCGATAAATTGACCAGTATCCCAGATTTCACACGCATTCCAAATCTTGAGGAATTGGATCTGGAAGGCTGTGAGAAATTAGGCGAGGTTCACTCGTCTATTGCAGTTCACAAAAAGCTGAAGGTTTTAATACTTGATGAATGTAAAAGTATTAAGAGTCTCCCAAGTGAGTTGGAAATGGATTCTCTTGAATTCTTTAGTCTTCGGGGCTGCTCAAAACTGAAAATGATTCCAGAATTTGGGGAACATATGCAGAACTTGAAAACGATTTATATACATAAGACTGCTATTGAGCAAATACCTTCATCAATTGAACATCTGGTTGGCCTTGTTTATCTATATATAAGTAATTGCAAAAGTCTCTTGGGTCTCCCGAGTGCAATATGTAAATTGAAATCTCTTACAACGCTGGCTATGCGCGGATGCTCAAAAGTTGATAAACTCTCAGGGGAGCTTGATTTAAGTGGAAGTGCTATGAGAGAGCCGCTTGTTGCTATGAAAAATCTCAAAAATCTAACCCTTCGTGGATCAGTTGCTTCAAGGGATGGCATTTGGTGTGGCCTTGACTGGTTATTTGGAATTAGAAAGAGTGTTGACCCTGACCCTTGGCGTTTGGTGTTGTCTTCTCTAAATCGTTTAGGGTCTTTGACGACATTAGATTTGAGTGATTGTAATATTGGTGAAGGAGCCATTTCAGATGATATCGGCTGCTGCTTGTCTTCTTTAAAAAGGTTGGATCTTAGTGGAAACAATTTCGTTAGCCTTCCCTCAAGCATTAGATTCCTTTCTGAGCTTCTGTCTCTTGGATTGGAGAGGTGCAAAAGGCTTGAGCAATTGCCAGATCTTCCGCCAAAGAGACCCTCATTAATTGTACGTGTAGACGACTGTACTTCCTTAAAAAGGTTGTCAGATCCATCAAAGTTGAGCGAAGGAGCCAATGTGTATGATTTTGTGTCTAGTTGTGTTAATTGCTTCAGATTGGTTGAAGAAGAAGGCTGGATCTGGATTAATAGAATATTTGCAATGATATCAATGGCCACAATGGATCTGGATTATCGGGCTGGACCTGATAACCGTTTTGTATGGCCTGGAAGTGAAATTCCAGAGTGGTTCGATAATCGACGTGTGGGAGATTCAATAATTGTGGAGCTGCCTCTACCTCCACAAACATGCAGTGACTGGGTTGGGATTGCTTTATGTGTTGTTTTTGAAGATTCTAATAAATATTTGAAAGATCCACCCTATGCTTTTTTACTTATTAACTGTTCGCAGGGATCGTATAACGTTTTTAAAGTTGGGCAACTTGAGTCACAACACCTTTGGGTTTTCTATTTGCCTCGCAATGATCGCTGGTTCAGGGGTGCCTCAAGCAGTCATCGATTTTCATTCGAATGGGTATATTTGTTAACCAGATCGGAAACAGAGCTGAAAACAAGTTTCTCAGTTATAAAGAAATGTGGAGCCCGTTTGGTGTACCAGAGAGATTTGGAAGAATTCAACCAAATTCTGAAAATCCCGATGTCAGCAGCACTACATGCATCCGGTGACGAGGAGGCAGCCCCAATTGGTAGTAGTGGAAGTGGTAGCTCTGATGACCACGATGAACCAGGAATTGGTTGCTCTAATGACGACGATGAACAAGGAATTGGTAGCTATGAAAATGAACCAGGAAGTTAGAGCTCTGATGACGACGATGAACCAATCAGCAAAAGATTCAAGAAAGTCTAAATTATTTTGTGCTTGGTTCAATCATTCAATGGGTCTCAATATAATACTGGAAAGGCTAATGACGTTGGTCAATTCTCAGAATTCATCTTGTTACATTTCTTTTTCTTCTTAAGTTTCTTGTCCTATCTTTTGAGTCTCTTTTTTGTGCAAATTGTTTTGGCGTCATGTAAATTTCCTTTTTCTTATTGAGAGTCTTGTGCTACGATGTTCATTAGAAAAAAGGAAAATTCGTGGCTTTGTCTTCGGAATTGAATAAACATGGGAAATAGCCTTAAATGCCACCCGTTTGAGAATTTAGGGAAATAGCTTTAAATGCCACTCTTTTTATAATTTCAACTAAAAATACCACATCTCCCCAAAATTTTGCAAATATCACATATAAATACATACTTATTGCTCACTTATTGGCCAGATAACACTTTTGGTCAGTTTTTGGTTTCTCTCTCTCTCTCTCTCTCTCTCTCTCTCTCTCTCTCCATCTAGCTAACTACGCCTCTTCTCACGAAGAAGAAGATCAAGAACAACCTACAAAACCCACAGCTTTGCCCTCAAAACCCAGTTCATCCTCTTACTCTCTGTTTTCTTCTCTACCCAAATCCAAACCCCAACTTCATCTCTCTTCGAATCCCTTTTGCAACCTAAACAAACCCAAACAAAACCATCTTTTTTGAATATGAGAGCATGTCTTGGCATTAGGTGGCCATTGTTGAGCATTTTGGTCCAATTTTGGGGGGTTTTGAAGTTAGGGTTTACATGCCCTCTTCAAGAACAGCTTCTGCAGAAAATGAATTGTTGGGAATATGTAAGTTTTGATGTTAAATTGAATTTAATATTAGCTCACCTCTTTTGACTGAAAAAACACATTTATGAATGCTTTAATAATGAACTACTATAAAAACAAACATGGGAAATCTTTAATGTCTGCCAATATGAAAATTTAATAATTTCTTCATGCTCTATGTTCCCTAGTAGCCATAAACCCCCTTTCTTTTTTTGCCAAAATAAACTGTAAACCCCTCTTCTTTGGCTCTATTTTAAATATTTTTACAAGTATCAACTAATTAAGGTGGTTTTGAAGTAACTCCAAGGCTTGAGGTTAAATAGTGTCTGGTCCCTGTGTAGTTTGGATTGCTTATGTTGAATTGCATTTGCATTGCTTCTTCTAGCTGCATAGTATTTTGAGAGAAGGAGAAAGGTTTGTTTTAGATTTTTTTTTATTTTAAAGATGTTATTTTATTATTTTATTTGTTACTTTTTGGTTTTGAAATATTTTAAATGTTATTATATTATTTTTATTTTTATTTTACTTGGAGTCTCCAAGGCCAAGAAAAATATAAGCCCACTTTCTTGAATTCGTCCTTGCCCCTGAAACTCATTTTGTCTCACTTTACTCCCTTTTCCACACATACGTGCCTCACTTTGCCTCGATTTCGGTGAGGCCAACAATTTCTGATCAAAATATTAATTAAAAATTAAAAGGTCAATTTTAAATGAGATTAAATATTTTTAAAATAATGTATATTAATTGAGTTTTTAATTTTTAATTCATATTTTGACCAGAAATTGTTGGCCTCGCCGGAATCTAGACAAAGTGAGACAAATATGTGTGAAAAAAAGAGTAAAGTGAGACAAAATGAGTTTCAAGGGGCAAAATGAGACTCAAATATACCTTCAGGAGGCATATCATAAAATAAGCCTTAATATTTCGGGAGCTTTAAGCCCTGTTTTGTATCCTACTTTTAAAAGTAAAATTCAAAAACTATGATTCTTGTTAAAAACTTTAGTTTTCAAAGAGTGATTTTAAGATCATAAACTTGTTTGGTATTGAACTCCAAAGTATTTTCAAGATCTAAAAAAATTGGAATTAAATGAGCCCAAGAGAACATGTGTTTTATGACAACATAAGTTAAGAGTTTTTCTATTTAAACCCCACACTTTTCTTTGTTCACCCCAATACTTAAATTATTAAGCTCTAAGTTTTATTATTGTGTAAAAAGACAAAAAAAAGTTATCCAAACTTAATACTTAACCCTAGTACATCTATACACACACCCCACCACTCTTCATATTAAGTTTTAGAAAAAAACACAAATTCCTCTACACCCTATTGCCAAATTACTCCTCTTTCAATCTAAGAAACCTACGATACTCTCTTATTCCCTTCACAAAACCTCCTAGTTCATTCTCAATGCTGCTACACATCTAACAACAATGTTTTTATCTCTTTAAATAATGTAAGGTTAAGGTGAACTTAGAGTGGCGAGGGGCAAGATAGATGGGTGTAGGGTGTGGGGTGTGAGGTTAATGAGTTTTTTTATTTTTTTTATTTTTTCTGCTGGGTGTGTATTTAGGGGTGGTTTGGGAAGATAGTGGGGTTTTATTAGAAATTGAGGTGAACAAAGAGAAGTGCGGGGTTTAAATAGAAAAACTCTAAGTTCAATGAGCCCAAGAAACACTATGGCTAAAATACAAGGATGGGTTTTGCTTCATCTTTTTTATTGGCTTATATAAGCCACAATTAAATTGTTTTCTTTCTAGGGTTTGAAGAATCCAACTTTGGAGTGGGTTTGAGAGGAGAGAAAACTCCACTCTACCATGCTAGAACCAGCCACCAAGAAGAGAGGGCTAGTACCTTACCTCCTCTTGGTCATCTTCTTCATCTCTTACACTACGTTTGTGTGTATGAACTAGAGGGTATCTACTTTGGTACCTTGTGAAGACTCTATGAAGCAAGCAACAAGGAAGAAGGTCTTTCCAAAGGTGAAAACTCGGAGACCATCCAAGAGAGCTTCAAGGATAAGAAAGTCTCATCCTTTCCTCCCTTTTCTTTTGTGCATAAGTGAGATTAGAGCTAGAAAGATACTTGGAATTTGGTAGCATTAGGCTTAATAAGATCTAAAAGTCGCTTCCGCCTCTTTGAATGTTTGATTCATGTATGTTGTAGCTTAAAATCCATGAGTTTAAATTTAAATGCATGTTTCCTTCAAAGGCTGAATTATGGAGTCTCCTTAGAGGTTTGCAAATGGCTCGGGCTAAGGGAATTAGGACCCTTGATGTTTAATGTGACTCTTTTATCTGTTGTTTCTCTGATGGCTAGGCTTCTGGAGAAATGAGGAAACAAGTATGAAGATAGTGAAGAAGTTCTTGGAGAAAGAAGGTGAAATGGCAATCACCATGGATGGGCTGCCAGAGAAGTTCTTTGAGCCCTTTTATCATGAAAGGCATTCAAGTCGATCTCCTTGAACCCGATCGTATTGTTTGCTCCTTCAAAGTAACCCATCGTTTGCTGAATGGAGGCAATTTAATGCATGGTGGAGCCACAGCAACCCTTGTGGATTTGATAGGGTCAGCTGCAATCCTCACCGTTGGAACTCCCAGCTTTGGAGTTTCAGTGGAGGTCAACGTTTCATACTTGGATTCTGCTTACCCTGGTGAGGAAGTTGAGGTTGAGGCCAAGGCTTTACGAGTTGGGAAGGCTGTTGGTGTTGCCAGTGTTGAGTTAAGGAAGAAGAAGACAAGAAAAATTATAGCTCAGGGCCGTCATACCAAGTATCTTGCTCTCGCTAGCAAACTCTGAACAACTTGGAAGCTGGAACCAAGACCCAAGACACAATTCCGTCTGTGTTCTATGTAAAGATTTTTCAACTTTGAATAAAATTTCTTGTAACTGAATTATATAAATTCACAGTTTGAGATGCAAATCAGTGATCAATTGATATTTTCCTCAGACTTGTACAGAATATTGAGAAGCCTTTTGGTGTTGTCAGTGTTGAATTTAGGAAGAAGAAAACCGGGGAAACATTGTTGTCAAACTGGTGCTTCTCCCTACACTCAATAAACTGCGGACAACTTTAAACCAACAATTCAGTGTTCCAATTTACAAATTTTGCTCTTGGTTATAGTTCAAGGAGTTTCACATGCGAACAATGCTCAATAGCATCTCTCCTCAGATTGATTCCAATTCGAAAAAGTCATTAAAAACCAGAAGATTGAATTGCTTTAACCTTTAGATTGTAACATGATACAACTGGTTCATGAAAAGATAATCTAAATCAAGAAAAAAAAATTGATTATTTAAGTCAATTCTTCAAAATCGCATTCCTCATCATAATTGCATTCATCATCGTAATTGTATCCATTATATTTGTCATTTGCAACATATGAATCGTCATCTTGGCCTTGTCTGGCTTCAGCCTCTTCACTGTAACCATTACTTTCATGCTCAAACTCATCATCACGACCGTTCTTCTCATTTGACAGTTGCATATCACCAAGAGTGCCACAATTAGACTTTGTGCCTTCCTCAAATGCAGGTGCATAACCCTGATTTTACACATGAAGAAAAAGATCAAATGAATCAAATTCAGTATCTATTAAAGTTCAGGCAATTAATCGCTGAGAGATACCTCCATTTTCTAAAACCTACCAGGATTTTTAACTAGGAACTACATTGCAAAATCATTATAAAATGACAAAAAAAAAAACCTTTGAACCATATAACTGCCCAATGAGTTAACTGATCATTCTAGTAAACCACCAGATTGATTTTCAGATATCACAGTTTCATGTCTTAATCCATGCTTAATAATAATATACCATCTTCCAAAGATTATTCTTTTATGTATTAAGTTCTATCCTGGAGTAGTTTGTGTGACTTGGATATACCTTTATTCCATTAAACAGGAATTTGGTGTCTGCACACTAACCAGACATTAAGAAAACAAAAAATATATTGAACAAGTAACATCATTTGACAATCGAAGTTAAACGTGCCATTAGATTTGATTGGCTTTTAGTCGCTTATAGTCTGTGCATCAGTTAACAAGACCTTGGATGTTGACAGAACATAATATGGGATTTGCAAAGCATGAATAAAAGCAAAATTGATTCTAAAATAAGACAAATAAAAGATGCTTACAAGCTCTTCATTTAATTTATCCAAAGCTTCATAGTTGATTTTTGAACTCAGCTTCTGCAAGAACAAAAATCCCATAAACCAGTTTGACAGCCTTTTCTGGCTTTTTAGCAGGAGCAGCTTTCTTGGCCATTCTGGCTCGTTTTCTATTCTTTCCCTGCCAATTTTATAGTTGCATATAGAGATCAATACATAAGACTCAATGCTGGCAGTAGAACAAATAGTCGAAAGATCAAAAAATAAGTCAAATGCAAACAAGATTGAAGTGAAAACTTTCGACACAGTTATGCAGTGTGACTCAAATAACAGCTCAGAACAAGGCAAGAAC